ATTAGTTTAACTTATAGTCTTTACTTAACTTTTATTTTTATTATTTTTATTTTTAAAAATTATTATTATTATATGAATATTAAGAATAATACGTATATATAAAATTTCAATGATACAAATATAAGTAATAAGTTAATTAAACAAGTAAATTAAATAAAATAAATAAATAATTTAAAACCCTTATATTTATTAACTTAATATTTATAATTATATTATTTTTATACCTTTTTTTTTTTATAATTTTGATATAATACTTAACCGAAGGAATAAACTAGCAATGGGGGTACAGGTAACGTGCTTACCCCTAAATTTTAAAATGGTTTGATTTTGAAAAGCAAATTTGGGCTTAAGATGCTCAACCCAAAAGCGGAAACCTCATGTTTCTCTCCATCTAAACAGGCCCAATTCCATAAAGCTAATCTGGCCCAAGCTAAATTACAGGGAAATGATGAGAGAAGATGGTGCAGTTAAGTCGCGGCAAGGAAGAAGAAAGGAAGCCGCTCTGAATTTGGGAACATCTGGAATCTACAAAACGTAAGGAGAGAAATCCACGCGAAAGAGGAAGGAGGAACCCTTTATTTTTTTCCCTCCTCTTTACTCATCATTTCGACTTATTTGATTAGAAAAGAGACTATTCTTTTCTTAGAAGAGGAAATATGCTATGGATTATTATATATTTAGTCCAAAGAAATCTAAGGTGCTATCAAAAGGGAAGAATACATTAACTGATTAACTAACAACAATGAAGGAGAAGAATATTTGTGTTTTAAGAAAGATCATTTTTCTTTTCCTCCTCATCACGCATCCCTTTTATCTTTTTCTTCATTCATTGGACAAGCACCAATCTTCAACCTTTACCTTCTATTGTCCGCATGTATAAATGTTGCTTGCAGCTATTCTCTACCCCCTTCACATTATTCTCTCCTCTTTTGTGCTGTACAATCTCCAAACATTTCTCTCTTCCTAACCACTGAATCAAATATGGCTGAACTTATTGTTGGTCCTTTTATGGATGTCATGATATCCAAGGTGATTTCAGTTACTACTGGGCAACTCAACTTAGCAGTGGGATTCAAACAGCAGCTCGAGAAGTTGCCTGGGATGCTGGGAATGCTAAAGGGCGTGCTACAAGATGCTGAACAGAAGAAGGTGAGTCACTCTGGTGTGCAGGGTTGGCTTGAGGAGCTTGGAAAAATAGTTGATGAAGTTGACGATGTGGTAGACGAGATTGCATATGAACATCTGCGGTCCGAAGTGGCTCAAGTGTGGGAAAAGGTCAGCTATTTCTTCACACTTTCCAATCCTTTAGCTTTTCGCCTTAAGATAGCTTGCAGGATTAAGAATTTAAATTTAAAATTAGCTGACCTTAATAAAAGGGCCCATGGGTTAGGGCTGCAAGAGATACTTGCAAGCAAGCATCCTGAATATATAGAAACCCAACAAACAGATTCCTCAATCGGTGATCCATCACAAATTGTAGGAAGAGAAAATAAGGTCCTAGAAGTCGTTGAATCATTGACTGACTCAAGTAATGATCAGCCTCTCCTTGTTGTATCCATAGTAGGTATGGGAGGCATAGGCAAAACTACTGTGGCCAAACTAGTGTGTAACAATGAGCAAATACGAAGTCATTTTTTCAAAATAATGTGGGTCTGTGTTTCTGAAAATTTTAATTTGCAACGAATTTTAGTAGAGATGTTGCAAGCTTTTGATGAATATGTTTCTACAGATAAAAGTCAAAATGTTTTAGTTGAAAAACTACAAAAAAAATTGAGGGGTGAAAAATTCAGTATAGAAAAATTGAGCGAGGAAAAATTGAGGGACAAAAATTATCTTCTCATATTAGATGATGTATGGAATGAAGAGTGGGAAAAATGGGAATCCTTAAGGAGTTGTTTGTTGGGAATAGGTAAACATGTTGGGGGTAGGATTCTTATCACAACTGGAAGTGAAAATGTAGCTTCCACAATGGGAACACTTTCTAAGCACATGCATCATCTCGAGAAGCTAACAGATGAGGATTGTTGGTCTATAATCAAGCAAAGAGCATTTGGCAGCTCATCATTCTCTTCAGAATTGGAGGGGATTGGAAGGGATATTGGTAGCAAATGTAAAGGTTTAGCATTAGTTGCAAATGTTATTGGGGGGAGTTTGTGCAATAATAGGAAGAAGGATAACTGGTTGTCAATCAAAGATAATAGTGAAGTGTGGGGTTCAATAGAAAAAGCTAATGGAGTTCTGCGAGTGTTGCAGTTGAGTTTCAATCGCTTGCCAACACCTGCTTTGAAACAATGTTTTGCTTTTTGCTCTATTTTCCCTAAAGATTGTGTCATGGAAAAGGAGATGTTAATCCAGCTCTGGATGGCTGGAGGATTTCTTCAGCCTTTTCATGAAAGATACTTGGAGATGGAGGATATTGGTGATGAGTATTTCAATGCATTGTCATCATATTCTTTATTTCAAGATGTTAAAAGAGATTCTTATGGGAGCATTATTACTTGCAAAATGCATGATTTAGTTCATGATCTTGCACAGTTTGTTTCAAAGTCCCAAACTTTGATTTTGGAAGATGGTAGTGGGAGAAATATTCCAGCAAACATTCGACATTTGAATGTCATTTCTAATAAGGGTACAGCAACAACAAAATTAGGGGATGCCACCGAAAAATTGCACATTTTGTTCTCACAAGTTGATGTCTTTCACAGTATGTCAACAAGCTTGAGAAATGTGCGGGCTCTTAGTTTCTGCAATGCTAATGTTGATGAGTTACCAGCTTTTTTGGGGAAAATGAAGCATCTAAGGTTCTTAGATGTTTCAGGAACTAAAATCAAAGAACTTCCCAAAGTCATCACCAGGCTCTATCAATTGCAGACATTTAGATTTATGGATTGTTGGGAAATCAATAGGCCTTTGGAAGGAATATGGGATTTGATCAATTTGAGACACATTTATTTCAATCAGCAGAAGCTTATGCCACCAAGAATTGGTGGACTAACTTATTTGAAAACATTACAATTATTTGTTGTGGGCCAACAGAAGGGACATCATATTGAAGAATTGAGATGTTTAAGCCAACTCAAGGGAAAATTAGAGATTTGCAATTTGCATATGGTTAGAGACAAAGAAGAAGCCATGGGAGCAAGACTTTCTGAAAAGGCTACAATTCAGGAGTTGCAATTGGCGTTTGGTGGGGAATCCAATGGTAGTGAAGATAGATGCAAACATGATGAAGATATCTTGGAAGGCCTCCAACCTCATTCAAATTTGAAAGGCCTCATTGTTGAATGCTATTGTGGTAAAAGTTGTCCTACATGGATGTCAGAAATAGAAAACCCAATGTCAGAAAGAGTGAATTTTCTCGAAAATCTAGTGTTCATATCCCTTTATCAATGTCCCTGGTTGGAAAGAATTCCCTCACTTTCACTCAACGATGAGGCAAAGGTAGAAATTAACTATTGCAAGAATTTGAAAAGCATTGCATGTTCGTCCCTTCAGAAACTCATCATTGAGGGATGTGAAGAACTGGTTGAGGTAGAGGTTGGACCAGTTGCCATGACGTCTCTCAAAGAAGTACATATAGAGAGATGTGGTAAATTGGAAAATATTCCAATGATTAGTAAATTACAATCCCTTGAGATACTTGAACTTCGGGATTGCAAGCAATTGAGGATGATTGGGACGACGCTCGATTTGCCTCCACGTGTCTGCAAGAGTTAAATATTAAAAGTTGTGGTTGGCTGACGTCCATGCCCAGTGTGGATGGGCCTTCTTATCTTCAAAAAATTGATATATCCTTTTGTGGGGAATTGAAAAGCATAGGGAAGAGTTTATCTACTGCCATGTGTTTCAAAGAGTTGATTATATGGGGATGTGATGGTCTGACGTCCCTTCCGAGTCTCGACGAGCTTTCCTCTCTTCAAAAAATTGATATATACAATTGTAGGCAATTGAAAAGTATAGGGGAGAGTTTATCAACCGTCACGTGTCTCAAAGAGTTGATTGTATGGGGTTGTGATGGTCTGACGTCCCTTCCAAACCTCTATGGGCTTTCCTCTCTGCAAAAAATTGATATATACAACTGTAGGGAATTGAAAAGTATAGGGGAGAGTTTGTCTACCGCAAAGTGTCTCAAAGAGTTGAGTATATGGCGTTGTGAAGGTCTGACGTCTCTTCCGAGCCCCCATGTGCTTTCTTCTCTTCAAAAAGTTCATATATACTATTGTGGAGAATTGAAAAGCATAGGGGAGAGTTTATCTACTGCCACATGTCTCAAAGGGTTGACTCTATCGGGTTGTAAAGGTCTAACATCCCTTCCTAGTCTCCATTGGCTTTCCTCTCTTCAAACTTTATCGATAAGGGATTGTGGTGGATTAAGAAGTTTGCCAAGTGGGTTGCCATCATGCACTGCCCTTGAGGAATTGGCTATCGCTAACTGTCATAATCTAATCTCTATTCCAGATGATTTGAGGAGGAGTTGGAGCATCCCTAACCCTACCTGTCTTGCTCGCCTGAAGAAGCTGACTATTGGTGGTTTCTCAACAGAGCTCAAGGAATTTCCAAATCTGGGCTTCATCAGATCTCATCTTGAAGAATTGACTTTGATTGCATGGGGAAAACCAAGAGAACGTCTGCTGGATCAAATTCAACACCTAACTGCCCTTAGGTATCTCAAAATATGGGATTTTGATGGACTGGAAGCTTTGCCAGAATGGTTTGGAAGCTTATCCTCTCTTCAAACTCTATGGATTTTCAACTGCAAATCTCTGAAACATATGGAAGCCATCCGATGCCTCTCCAAATTAGAGAGGCTTTTTATTGAAAGATGCCCTGAGTTAAAGGAAAGATGCGCCAGTGGAAGTGATTCCGAGTGGGACTACATCTCTCGCATTCCAAAGATCTACATAAACGGCGAAAAGATCCAACTCAAAGGAGATCCCATTGAGGTATCTTTAGCCTTTAACTATATATAATAGTAACTCTTTTTTCTTTAATTCCCTCTTTTTCCTGATTGATTTCAATTATGCATTTACCTTCTTCCAATCTTTTAAGTATTACTACTAAATCTTTTTTTATTTTTTCAATTTACTTATAGTACGTAGCAACTAAAACCAAATTTATTATCTACTAGTCTACTACCATTATTACCTACAATTCAAAAGCAAATTAAGTTGATAATTTCTTTTCCCTTCATTATATGTAATTTCAAGTTTTAAAATGTTATGATAATAATTTCTCCATTCAAATGCTCTACTACCATTCTAGATTCCTAGTCGACTGCATCAGGGTGATGATAATGAGCAATCACGAGCATGGACTGCAGGGTTAGAACACTACCTTTGTTGCAGAAACTAATAAAACAGATAGTAAAACCAAGGTTCAAAATGTGAAGGCAAGCATCATGGCTTGGCAGCCCAACCCAGACCACAGACTTCAATGTTGATTTTGAGGTTAGACTTTATTTGCCAGATTCAATCCTATTATGCAATTGGTAATGAGTATGTTAGATTTTTAAAGTAAGAAGAAGGGGTTGAGAGAGGACTTGGAGGAAAGTAGGGGAAGAGTAAAACTTAGAACATGATATAGAACATAAACATTGAAGGGTGCAGACATTCACCCAACCAGGAGGAGAGGAGAAGTTGTTTGCCAACTCTAGCATATTTCCATTAACATGTCTGCCCATTTATAGCAGAAATTCAACATAAAAACAGTATTTTTCTCCTACTTTCCATGATTTATGACCACATTTTTCCTACAAAATCTATCCTAACTTTTAAATCAAGGATTGTAATACATAAACTAAAATAAAAATGTTCATTAAAACACTATCACATTTCTGCACTTGTGTTGATTAATTTGCAGCCTCCATTTGCTTTTCATTCACATGTCACATTTGCATTTGCATTTCATTTCATTTTCTTCCATAAGGCAACAGTTTGTTGCACTTTGATGCACCATTTTGCTGTTTTGTGGTAGCAACATCACAGCTTTGATGCCACTACTCCAACAAAATAGCATCAAAGTTTACCATTGCACTCACAACTCACAAGTCTTATTCTAGTAGTGCATCACTTCTTTCTTCTGCCAACTTAACTATGAGGATTGAGGAAGGTTGCTGCTGATTTTTTTAACATTTGTAAGGTATTTTTACCTTCTCTTAATAAAGTATTTATTTGTGTAGGGTGAATATAACAAAACTCTGGTTTCAGCCAGGCATAAAAGAGGATACAACTGTAAAAATGAAGTTGCTCAAACAAGTATTGTGAATGCATTCAGGTCTATCAAATGTTAGTTATCACATTCTGTATAAGATTTACTTATCTGATGCGTGGATAATGTATGTTCTGTATAAAAGCTACATCATTTTACAGGTCTCTAATTCTTCAAATTAACTTGCAAGTAATCTGTCTCTAAAACCGTTCTTTCAATCTAGAGCAGAAGTTATGTTGGTGACGACTTGCTGAAAAGCCAAAGAACCAAGCAGCACAATCATCTCAAAAACCATGGAGACCTTTTGATTTTTATGAGATCCATACATGAATTCAGGTAAGCTATGCTTTCCTTGTAAACTTTTCTCTCAAAATTTGACTGCATCTCTATGATATGACGCATTCTTCATTTAAAATTTTGTGAACTTTTTATTCTCTCATTGTTTTTCACTTCTTTTTGTAATGTTATAGTTCAATTTTAGAAGTATTTTTTTATCAATCAAATGACTGGTATTTGACAACTTATAATTTTCATTTGGTACTAACTATTAGGTTCCTTGATTACATTCTTATAATTCAGCACCAGCTCACTTCCCATTTCTTAATATATATAGTTGCAGACTTGTAAATATAATAGATTTTGAATTCAAACTTGGAAGAATCTGCAACTAAGGGGGATTCAGACTGTGGAGATAGAAACCGAAAGCAGGCTAGTGTAATTAACTTTGGAATTTTTGGTTCATTTAAAGCATTGGTTTTTCTTTAATTTTATAGACTAATGTTCATGGTTATGATCTAGATTACTAGTTGTTTTAATTTGTCCTCAGGAACGCAAAACATGGATTGGAGTTCTTTTAGGTGTCATGGTTTCAATAAGGTTTGATTGCTGTGATTGTGGGCCATCCATTGGCCTTGAAACACATAACCAATGCTCATCGAACAAGCAAAAAGCAATTAGAAAGGCACTGTCATCAAGAGAAATTAAGAATGATTCTGGTATGTTCCCTGAGTCTCAAGCATTTAAGCATGGGCTTTCCGATTTTTGAATCTTTTGCTAATTAGTACAATGAGCATAGTCTTATGGTAAGACTAATTGAGATTCTTCCTTAAAAAGTTATTGGACCATAATCCATAAGGTTTTAATCTCTTGGAGGTGCTCAATTTCAATCAGCTGGGAGAATGACAAGATGTTGATCAGTCTCTTATACCTTGAGTAGGTAAATCACTTCTAAGTTCAATTTGTTTCAAAGAATGGCAGCTGATAAAAAGTTGCTCATGGACTTCCAATTTGTAGGTCTCTTTCTGTTGAGTTTTCATCAACTAAGCTGTACCCAGACTCCAGGGACATCTTAATCCATAGTGACTCTTTTAACTCCTCGAAGGTATGTCTTGAATAGAATTATGATTAAGCTTGAAATTCATTTAAAATAGATATACTTTTCTATAATTCTTCTTATTTCTCATTTCCATTATCAACGCTACTTTGTGATGCTCTTGTAATTGACATCAAAGTTCTCATGTTTTAACAAATGAACAGCAGGGAATTCAAGAGGAAAACAGAAAGCGTCAACCGTGACAACCAGTAGCAAACCATGGAGATCAATGGTATAATATTTTAGACCCAGTGGTGGCGAACATGATTTGCTCAATATTTTTTATTGTCTTGAAATGGTGATGAAGAGATTTGAACCCAGTTTCCAACATAGGTTACATATCTTCTGACAATTCAGCCAAAACCAATGTCATTTGTCCTAGCAACCCAGTAATGATCTGGCAAGTCTCCGAAGTGAAGAAATTTCATCCAGATCAAGCAATGCAAAGTGGAAGATGCATAAATATTTAAGGCGATCAAGTGCCATATTCTGTCAAATTTGTTGCTAACTAACAGACAAGAAATGTGGAAGCCCAAGTTAAACTTGCTAATGCTGTCTTGAATTTTGATTACAATAATGGATGCATTTGCTATTGAGTAC